TGTTTCGTTGAAAAAGTATGCTTCACAAAAACAACTAATAGATATGATTGACTTTTGTCCGGATGCTTATACATGCGAATGAGCTTTGAGGGCAACTCTTTTTTCTTTTCTTCTCCTTCTTCTCCAAAACCAAGACAATGAGGAAAAAAAAGCATGTAAAAAGTGAAGTAATCTATAGATTAATGTCAAGATCCTCTCAATTTTCAAGTAGCAGCAGAGGGCCAATATGTGGAGAGGAGTGGAGTATTGGGCAACTTCGCTCCTTTTAGAGAAGGAAAAACAAGGAACTAAAGCATACTAAAAAACTTAATTAAGTTGATTACGATCACATAACAAACCTAATAAAATATTGATCCTATAAAGAAAATAAGGATACAAGTAATGGAATTGAAGCCTCAAAAAGAGTAAACGGATAAAGGCATTAAAGCTGGAGGATAATCCATGTTAAATGTGATTTCCAATGAGATAACTCAATTAACTGTGTGTGTATTTGGGGGAGTGTTCCTCCACACCCCCCCCCCCCAAAAAAAGCCATTTTCATGGCAGTAAACGCAGTTTTTTGGGGGGAGTTCCATGTATAAATATACAGTGCACTCCCAATATGGAGAAACCGTATGCATACTTTGTCATATCCGTATACAAATAATTGGGAATGGATAAATTGCAAGCAGTCACTTCCAGTTAGCTAACAAGGACGTCCTACACACAATATATTAGGTATTTGGCATAAATATCTGTGTGGTCTTTCTGTCAAATATGCAAGACGTAGAAACACAATGATACAGCTACAGTCTTCGGGTCACAACTAATAATGCTGTCATTCTTTCTGTTCGTAGTGATAGACGTTTCTTGAAATTAGGAAAATCAACCAGATGTTGTGGATCAATATTTTGTCGAATTAAGTATTTCTTTGGCTTGTTGCTTGCTACATTGACAAAATCAAAGCAGTTAGACTTGTGACTAAATCTAATAATTAATATTGAAAATTTAAATTTATACTGTCAACATTTAAAGTTACTTATTTCCGTGTAATGTTTTTATGGATATTTAAGTTCAAAAACCAAAGTTTCATATAATCAAAATAGAAATGAAGAATTGTGATTGATTACAAATAACATTTTGATTAGTTTTTTAACCCTTGTAAATTAAAAGTAAAACACTATCTGATATTGGCTGGAATCTAGTCAGTACGAGAACAAACACTTTTTTATGAAGTGTCTATCAACAGATGATATGAAAAGAAGTTACTTGTTAAATGCATTAGACACCACAACTAATGTAGAAAAATTGAACCTTAATTTTACATGCTAACATAAAGTAGCTTGTACAAAAAATGGAAGTCTTCATTTTGGCATGCTAACTGCTAAGCACATTGTAGGAGTTTGACTGTCCAACTTAAATTCTTGTTGACTTGAATAAACCAATTCATTATTCCCAAGTGTGTTTTTCTGTGTTTAAAACCCAAATGCATCCAGAATATATGATCTCATCATGATTGTCTTCTTGAAAAATTCTATATCCTGATGCAGTTGGTTACATGCCTAGCATCCAAATAGATCGGCAAATATTGTTCATTGTTTATTTTCTTCTGCATGTGTTCAATAGTACATGCCACCATAAGAGTATTTATGCTTAGCTAAATTTTATTTTGCCAACATGACATGTCCAATGGTCTATGTTCTCTGAACTCTGCCTTTGTTTTAATATTGTTAACTGGATGGGTTTTTGGATGCCATTGGTTTTCATATTTGTAAAATTAAAGACTGTACATATTATTTATTTCTACAGCCTCCCTCCCTCTTTATATTTTTATATTGTAACATAGATGTATTGATTTTTTTTCCCCCAAGATGCTCTTATCCAGCAATCATTATTGAATAATATGCAGGATGCTATGTCAAATATTTAGTCATCATTGATCTGTTTCTAAGAAGCTTCTGAACGCAAATAGTGATCTTATGCTAGATTTATACCAATGTGCAAATACATATTCTCAAAAGTGGTATTAACTCTATCTTTCTGCTTTTTTAAGGTGATAACCATAGTATAATGATATACTATCCCAGTTCAGCAGGTGGAGGTATGAAGGAATTGTTTAGGAAGGTGAGCTCTGGAATGATATTATAGGCTCCTTAATTTAGAAGGCTTATTGTTTTTGTAACATTGAAGGATGTGGAGAGCATCTAAATTCCCTAAGGTCATTGAAACTGTTGGTGTTGGGATGTTTTATCTGGATTCTGTAGTATGAATTATAAAAGCATTGTTTTCTATTTGTTCAAGTGCCTGTGAACTGAATACTTTTATTTTTAAGCACATATGTTAGGTAGGTATATATAGTTTTTTCGTCTTGAATGAATATATAAAATGTTGTAGACTTTTAGTTGGATTGTCAGCGACTATATATGTTTTTTGAGAGAAATGAATCAAAACCATTCCTCTGCTTTCTCCTAACAGCTTAAGTATTTGGAGGAGTTGGCTCGTTGACATGCCTTTTGGTACTTTCTGCATTTCCTGTCATTTTTCCTCAAGTCTTACGAGCAACTTTCTTTATTCAAATATACAATATTAGATTGGCAACCGATCCAGTGAATTCCATCCAGAGGTGAGAAGAGTGAGGCGTGAAGGCTCCTACATCTACGAGGAGTTTATGCCTACTGGAGGGACAGATGTTAAGGTTTGGCACCTTGAGGTTTATGTTGCTTTTTTCTGCCTAAAAAAGTTTATATCACTTATGTCATTTGGAATATTTTTTAATATTTATTTAGACATGATTTTAATTTTTAAATAATTATAGGTGTATACAGTAGGCCCAGAATATGCTCATGCTGAGGCAAGGAAATCTCCTGTTGTTGATGGTGTTGTTATGAGAAATCATGATGGGAAGGAAGTAAGTAGCATGCCAAATATTCTAGCCTCTTCTCCCTTGAATTTATTTATGACCTGCGTATTTTTATTTTTGCTTGGTCTTTGCTCCATTTGGTATTACTAGACAGTAATTATGTGGATTAGCTGTCAATGCTTAGTCCAGGGTCAGAATTATTCTGTAAGATGTCAGCTTGTCATTTACAGTCTTATCCTCATGGTTAATGTTTTGCAACTCTAAAGCATTTTGTTGAAAAAGTGTATATATATATACATATTTTGGGTTGGCTGACAGATAAAGAAAGCATATGCCATTCCATTCCAATGCAAGCATGGATTGGTGGCTTGAAATATAGATTGAAATTTCTTGTTGAAGCATGTCTGTAATTTTTTTTTGGCAGGTTAGGTATCCTGTATTATTGACACCTGCTGAAAAGCAAATGGCAAGAGAGGTTTGCGTTGCATTCCAGCAAGCGGTAAGTTGTGTGCATGTGGTGACTCCTTGTCATACAAAGATTCCTTATTTCTTCTTACATGTGATTACTACATAAATGTTTGTTTAAACTGACGTCTTCTTATCCTGTTAGATTTATTCTCTCTAGACTTTTAGATTGACTAGTAATCCTATAGTTAATTGAACTTCTGTTGAATCTTTCCAATGGTCATATAAATTTTTCTTTTTACCTGAAAGGAGGTTTTAGCCCAACTTCTGCGAGCTCTTTTATCATGCTCTTGCATTTTTGCCTTCTTACTGAATTTTCATCACTGGCTTAGATTACGTTCAAAATGTTTTTAGCTGTGACCTATCTATCTTAACAAGTCCTATCATGAAATATCTTATTTATTTAAAATGAACTAGTGATTATTGCAGTAGATTTAATTGGATGTGTTGTATCTTGGTAACCTATTCTTTCAGAGAATAATTCAGTTTGTATGTAATGTTGTTCAATTAAATCGGTCCCAACGAAGAATTATCATCATGATAGTTTTGTGTCTTATACTTCATGTCCGACCATAAGTTTTTCTTATTGCTTGCAGGTTTGTGGGTTTGATCTCTTGAGATGTGAGGGACGCTCATATGTATGTGATGTGAATGGATGGAGTTTTGTTAAGAACTCACACAAGTAACTTTCTGTAATTACATTGTTTTGAACTTTTGATATTGGAAGCATAGTTGAAAATACATTTATGGTGATTACCTTTGCTTCTATATAATTGAATATCTTGAGATTAAGTTATTTTCCCTGGAATTTTTATTTGTGGTTTTATTAGGAGAGTTTCTTTGCTGCTTGAAAATTTTAGTGTTTCATAAATGATGACTTTTTAACCATTTTAGTTAATATCTTTCGGGCCTTAAATTCTATGGACTTGCTATGTGATCCAATCTGGACCACTACTTATTCACTTTCTAGTAGTTGCCTTTATAACAAGTATGTGCACGGTCAATCTCTCGTCCAAAACCTTTGCAACTGATATGTCCAAAATTGAATAATATACTGAATTGGATGTTACCCAGCAGTTCATTTAGAATGCTTTCAGATGAATAATATTTTGATCAAGAGGACGCTTATGTATTGCAACCAAATGTTAAAGTACTGTGTATTTCAAAATTGAGGAAAGTAAAATGTTTTATCAATTCGAATTTTAAAGATCAATTACATCCAGTAAGTTCATGTGAAAAGAATGACCAAGAAGTTTAATAGGTAAATAGAATCATTGGTTCCTTTAGCTTATAGTTTTTCTATTTCAGCCAAATTTATGTATAGACGAAGTTGATGTGTTACTTTTAGCTTAAGCTACATGTTATCTACAGTATTTAGATGCCCCATTACAATATGACTGGAAAATAGTTATTCAAGCAAAAAAACATTCTTAATTTGTTAGCCTGCGTTGTGATAATAACAAATTTTAATCTTAAAAGAAGGAGAAAACTGTTTAAGACAGAAATTTGAAATCCTTAAATGTGTAATACTGTTAGGGAGAAAATTTGATGAAACAAATCCAATTTATGAGAAATTTTCAACTTGTTTGAAAAATACTCGCTATTTGCATATGTTCTAATGAATGCTTGCTTTCCCTCCTTTTACCTCGATGAATCTTACAATTTTGTTTCCATTGCTGCTATTGAAGGTACTATGATGATGCTGCATGTGTGCTGCGGAAGATTTTCCTAGATGCAAAAGCACCTCATCTTTCATCAGCAATTCCACCAACTTTGCCATGGAAACTGAATGAACCAGTTCAACCTTCTGAGGGATTAACTCGTCAGGGTAGTGGTATCATAGGAACTTTTGGACAATCAGAAGAACTGCGTTGTGTAATTGCTGTTATTCGTCAGTATGTTTCTTTTCCGTTTTTACCTTGGATTGGTTATATTAGTTAAATTCCATGCTCTTTATTGTTCACTTTTTTGTTTTGGCAGTGGTGATAGAACTGCTAAGCAGAAGGTGAAGCTGAAAGTTACCGAGGAAAAGCTGCTAAACATAATGTTGAAATACAATGGAGGACGACCTAGATCAGAGGTACCACTTTATTTTCTTCTGGTGTTTCCGTAATATTCTTAAGTGACTGGATTTATTGATGCTTCATTCTTGATCCAATATTCCATTATTTGCAGACAAAACTTAAAAGTGCAATCCAGCTGCAAGATCTGTTAGATGCCACTCGAATGCTAGTGCCTCGAACTAGGTATATGACCAAAATAAACTTCATTATTGAGTATGCTGCATTATTGTCACAATATATGACAACTTCTCACTTTCCATTCCACCTCTAAGCTCAACTAAATTTAAGAAGATTGCGGCATAAATTTTTACTCCTCAAGGTTCTTTGTTATTGCTGCTTTTACTCCTCTTAATCCTGTCCCTGAATAAGATGTTTTCCCCAACTTTCTATCATTTTTACGATTGATACTCTTAAAAAAATATCATCAGAAGATAATTAAAACAAGAAAAAACAGAAATTACAATTTTTCACTGCGGAATACCTTATATTCATATACTTTCAACTGTATTTATTGGCCCTTTTGACATGCTGACTGATCATATATATATATATATATATATATCTTATGCATGCCTTGTGAGTATTTCTTTACTTATTTCTGTTCCCTTGTCTATGGATATCTCATCCTTGTTTTCTTTTTAGTATTTTGCTTGAGAGATCTTGTATCTTATCAAATAATCAACGTTAAAGTTTGAAACTCTCGCTGATATATGCTTCTTTCATTTCTGTTTATAATTAATAGAAGCTGTTTCTCTTTTAATCAATCTATATTTTAATAAGCAAGAGTTTTGGATTAATCACAGTTATATGCATTTTATAGACCAGATCGTGAAAGTGATAGTGAGGCTGAAGATGTTGAACATGCTGAAAAGCTTCGCCAAGTTAAAGCAGTTCTTGAGGAGGTTATTAATTATCTTGACAGTGTTTTTTCCCAATGTTATTTTTTTTCCTATTACAAGCCTTGCTACGGGGCAAAAAATTCAGTCATCCTGCAAAATTGACTGCATTGATGTATCTCTTTGATTGACCTTGAATTTAAACTGTATGATGCCAAGATTACACATAAGCCTGGGTACCTAAGTCGCATAGGGAACCTTACTCCAAAAGTCAATTGTTGAGGTAGGAGAACCAACGCATTTGAATATCTCATTATGTATCCCATACGACTCAATGTGGGACCTAGTGTCTCATACTACCAAGTCTCTAATAATTGGCCCTCATGGAAAGCCAATGTATTGGCGGCTACATTCCATGGCACTTTACTCAGCTTCTTGCTGTTTAGAACCCTTCAAGTGTAGCCCTCTCTGGAACTGCCAACAACTTGGCTTTGATACCAATTGATGGATACCTAAGTGGGATGGGGAGCCCTACCAAAAGCTAGCCGTTAAGATGTGAGAACCAACCCACTTAAATACTATATTAAACATTCTATGCTACTCAATGTGGGACTTGGTGTCCTATACTACCAAGTCTCCATCACAAGATGGCATGCATATTGCTAATGCTAAGAGGAAGATACACTTCTACATATAATTTCCATATCCTGCATAACTGCAGTCCAGGTTCTCGCCTCTTGTTCAACGTTTAACTTTCTCTTATTTTCTCAATGATATCAGGGGGGACATTTCTCTGGCATATATAGGAAGGTTCAACTAAAGCCACTAAAGTGGATCAAAGTTTCAAAAAGCAATGGTGAAGGTGAAGAAGAACGACCTGTTGAAGCTTTAATGGTTCTTAAATATGGCGGTGTTCTTACACATGCTGGCAGAAAGCAGGTTCACTACAAAAATATCATTTTTTTTTTTTTGCTGAGTTTGAATTTGGCTATACTCCTATTGTTCCATTATTGTTGGGGTTAAACATGAATTTATGATGTTCAATGGCAATTGCTTTAATTATTATTTTCCCTTTGCAGGCTGAAGAACTGGGAAGATTTTTCCGGAATAATATGTATCCAGGTTATTTGAATCTCTTGCTTCATAGAATTCAATGATGCTATATGTGAAGAGAAGCCAATGTACTCCAAATTCTAATCACTAATGAAAAGCATTCACAATAACTAACTTTCTTAATTCAGTATCATAATAGAAGAATGATCACCGCCCCTTACTGCAGGGCTATATATAGACACCCAAAACAAACTTCAACCGAACTAAAACTTGGAACTCAACTGAACAACCAGTGGAATCATTGTATAATTCTGCTTGTCATAGCATATCCCTGGGCCTAAAAACCGTCAAGAAAATCCTAATCTACTGATTATAAACCATATATTGCCCCAAACTCCCGTGTACAAATCCTAGATCCAAAATTGCAGTTACTTCCTGCATTCTTTTTTCATCTCATACTGAATTACTTGTCAACCTAGTACTCCATTTCTTTTCAGGCCTATATTATTTTATTTCTTGGAACATCCTTCTCAGCAATGTATTTCTGGAGTTTATGCTTTTTTTTCTTGTAGCTATAAAAGTAAAAGTGCATAATTATGATATAATCAGCAGACTCTAGGCCATTCCATTGGTCATTTATACTTGTATTGTATGGATCGTTTTCTTTCAGAGAATTTTGGATTCAACATGCTAACTGGTTTAGGACTGGAGACACAATGGTCTTGAACTTGACTAATTTGTGTTACACACCTGTTATTGTCCCTTGTATCCTATTTTGAATGGCTATACTTGCCTTCCGTTAACTGTGTCGTTCTGCTATGATTGCATACCCCCTTCAAGCTGGTGAGTGGATGTTTTCCATTCCCACATTCATGACTGAGTCTTGAATGTTGAAACTAGACAATCCTTTAGTGAGTACATCTTCAAGCTGGTTAGTTGTATGTAGTTATGAATGAAGTACAAATTAGAGCACCAGCTAGTTTCTCTTTTATAAAGTGCTGGTTTACTTTAATACGTTTCATTTGAATGTGTTTCACTCTATTGTGGAAAATGTTGATAGCTGTGAAAAATCAGATTTTATTGCATTTATTTTTCTGATAAGGTCATGATTAGATGCTGACTGTATAGGGAATATTTTGCATTTATTGTAGATATCTCTTTTTCTTTGTAAATTCCCATACCATGTTCAAATGAAATATCAATGAAATCAATCATTCTTTTCCACAATGGCTGACTTGTTATAGTAAAGTTTCATTAGACTTTTCCACTTGATCTCCAAATCTTTGAAGATTATTTTTATCGATACTAGCTTATAGGTCCCCAGTATCATGGCTTTAAACTCAGCTTCCGCACTAGATCTAGCCACCCAAATTATTCAATGGTCTTGTTTAGGCTGCGTAATTCTTCCCTCTCCAATATGTGAACTCTTACAGCATCATACTCAATATTCAATACAAAGATAGCTATGGATTTGTTGGTTCTTCGCAAATTGGTTTGGAATAGCTGTATCTAATTGTGCTTCATCTTGGTGCTGTGGTAATGGTCGATTTCCTGCCATAAACCTTTCATTGCATTAGAATATTTAGTAATTCGTAATAGACATACTTCCCTGTTTAGTGTTGGAGAGATCTTGGTATTGATCTCAGATATTCGTGCTGTATCTTGCATTTTTGAGTAGGTTTCTTGAGAAGCATCCTGGATCTTCTGTGCCAATTTCAGAAATATACACAGAATTCAGGTGTCACAGAATTCCACAGCCGTGAAGTGATCATGGAATTTGCATCATCCCTGGCGTCAAAGTTTAGTTCACTGGTTTAGGATTCATACGAAGAAAATGAATCAATTTAAGAAAGTATGAACAGCTGTGACCTCTTCGAGTAATTCTTTCCACTCAACCTGTAGGTAGCCTAAATACTTAGCAATCATGGCAATACATAATTGGTAGCTTTGATCACAGACGATTCAGTGGTTTGGGTGGGCAGTAAACAACTCAAACATGGCAGGGGTATATAGAAAAGAGGCTAGCTACTTATTTTGGCTTGACCATGGTGGAGTGGTGGCATTATGCACACCCATGAGTAGGCATGTGAGATTCATTGCATAGAAAGATTATCAGAATAGGCTTTGTCACATGGGTTTACCTATCAAGCAAGTCTGAGATGGTTTCTTGGTGGTTCCGGTTTTAAGATGAAGGAATGAGAATCAAAATGGCAAAGGAAGCAGCCACAGACATATCTGGACTGGTGCAAAAAATGCAACCCAGATCTGGAACTGGATGAAAATGCCATGAAATATTGGCTAGATGAGAAAACAAGGTTATTGAGAACCAAGTCCTGATACCATAACAATGAATGTCAAAAAGAATTTTTTATGATAATTAGGCAATGAGTTTACAAGTGGTATTTATGCTGGAGTCAGACTGAATGGCAGGAGGCAAATAACCAAACTGATAATTGCAGATATTACTCAACCGACTAATTACAATAATATCTAACATTATTTTGTACGAAAAGGCCTTATCATCTTGTGTTCTTTTAAAAAAATGCAGGGGAAGGTACAGGTCTTCTTCGACTCCATAGTACATATCGTCATGATCTTAAGATTTACAGCTCTGATGAGGGTCGAGTGCAGGTATTGGAAAATCTGAATAAATGAAGACTTAAAAGAATCAGAATCTTAATTAAAGTTGTAGCAAATAAAAATGTGGGATTTTTAACAACTATGTCTACTAGACTTTAGTTAATTTCTCCTCTCCATTTGGTATAATTAGTCCTTTCTTGAAAAATGCTTTTGTTAACAGATGTCTGCAGCAGCATTTGCCAAAGGTTTACTTGACTTAGAAGGGCAGCTAACACCAATCCTGGTTTGTGTTCTTTTCCCGAAGATTTTGGCCTGTTCTTTGGGTTGGATTTTTTTTTCTTTTCTGACTGACATGTGTACCTATCTTAAAGGTCTCCCTTGTTAGCAAAGACTCCTCCATGTTGGATGGACTTGACAATGCGAGTATTGAAATGGAAGAAGCCAAGGTCAGTAACCTGTTTATAATTTTCGTTCTTTTATATTATAGGAATTTTAGTATCTAAAGTACCAAACTTTAATTAAAGTCCCTTTATCATATAAAAGAAAATTTTAGGATAAAGAGAACAAAACAACTATGTAAATTAATCCAACAAATTGGTTCTTTGCCTCAAGTTACTCAATAACATATTAACTTGAGAAGAACGGCCCCATCCACTGTCCAGAATGGCAAGTCCAAATTATTAATTATTATAACCCTGTTCTCCTATGCATAAAAGCTCTTTCTCTTGCTTTTAGGACACTGGTACAGTATTTTCTGTACTACTTATTTATTTTACTTTTATGTATTGGTTGGATTCTTTGTAGGCTCGGTTAAATGAGATTATTACCTGTAGTCCAAAGATGGCTCATAGCAATGGATCATCTGAATTTCCTTGGATGAAAGATGGAGTAGGGTTGCCGCCCAATGCATCAGAATTACTCGTCAAGCTGGTAATATTTTGGAATATAGAAATGCATTATAGTAGTTTAGACCTCTTGTTCTGAGAATCAGGGCAGACACAAAAATGCACTATCTGAATCAATGAATATACTCTAGTTCTTCCAGGTTCTGCCTTGTTAGGATTTTATTATTTAATTTGATTTTATCTTTATTATCAATAAATTAGAATGACACTCAAGTTACTCCTGCATTTCTTGGACTAGCTTCACAAGTTTATTTTCCAATTTATGGCAACATAATTACTTTGAGTTCAGGCATAAATCCCAGCGCATTTTATACTCTGGAGCATCAAAATGATTTGAATTACTGTTATTTACAGCTAGTTTTTATTTTTTGACAAGCTGGCGTTAACAGTAAATTGTATCAAAATTTAAGCTTAGTTGGAAAGGCTGCAGGATATTCTAAAAACTTTCGTGAAGCACTCCCTGTTTTAACCAACGTTAGACTCTCTAAAGTCCCCTTTCGCATACCAGCATAATGAATAGATGGATTACACCATTCCAAATGAAATGACAATAATGAGAATCAAGTAAAATGAGAACAAGAGAAACAAATGAAAATGGAATCACTTGAGGGAAACAAAAAAGAATTAACGAGCACAAGGAATAGAATGCAAAACAACCACTTTGAGGAACAGAAATTGATTTTATTTTATTTTTTTCAGTTACTGTAAATGGAATTTTCCCAAGAATTTTTATAGCATATGTTATTACAATATGGGAAATTAAATTTTTATTGAAAGTGAGGCAGATGAACGGGACAATTGAATCTGTTGGACAAGAGTGATAGATTGACTTTAACAATGGGATGTAGGATTAGAGCCTATTATCTTTCTAGATAACAACAGCAGCAACAACAACAAGCTTTATCCCACTAGATGGGGTTAGTTGTATGGATTGTACGACATCATTGTGATCTATCATATATCAAGCTTTTAGAAATATTATTTACTAAGAGATATCTTTCTAGATAACATTGTTTCTAAATTATTGCGTATAGGTTTTCACTGTTCATAGATGTTAATCTATTCTAGTGAATATTTCTAGAAACAGGGTAGGGACATGCATAACTTGTAATCATTATGATCATTCTTTTGTAATTCCCATGTATATCTTGTTCAGGTGAAATTAACTAAGAAGGTCACTGAACAAGTACGACTACTTGCCATGGATGAAGATGAGAAGCTTACAGAAACAAGCTCATATGACGTAATTCCTCCTTATGACCAAGCAAAGGCACTTGGCAAGACAAATATTGACATTGATCGCATAGCTGCTGGATTGCCCTGTGGAAGTGAGGGGTTCCTTCTGATGTATGCCCGCTGGAAAAAGCTTGAAAGAGACTTGTATAATGAACGCAAGGAGTATGTATTAGCTATATTTTTACTCAATTTTGTTCTCCTTCTACTTTATTTATTTATTTTTTTACTTATTATAGAGCTAAGATAAGGAGTGCTACTAATGCATTCAAAAATTTAAATGATAAGACCCCATCTCCTGTCACTATGAAAACTCACAAAAAGGAGATATAAAAAGAATGGCAAAGGGCAGAAAATATGGTACTATGGGTTTAGGAGAAAATCCTATGAGTAAAGACCAGCTGACACATCAGAGTAGGGGAGTAAAGCTAGTGTTTTGGCAGAGGCAATCTACTTTTTGGCTTTTTAAATCTATATGTTCGTGTAGAAGAAAAGTGTGGAGTATTTTGAATATTGAGAGTGGTAAGGAGAGCTCTGGCCTCTCGAATGCCAGGTTAGGGGTGGAGGAAGTCATCTTTCTTCATCATTTTATCTTCTGCTTAGTGTATGTTTGTAAGTGAGTGACTTATATTTTGTGATTGTTGTTTGGTGGAGTGTATTTTGTGCTGTTTCTGTTTCAGTACGTTGTAATTTTCAGTTCCTTATTTCGCTGTAATCCAACTTTGCTATTCGGTAATAGTAATTTTCAGTCCCCATTTTTGGTGTAGTTTCTGGTTTATGCTTGTTTAAAGCTTATTAGAATAGAGGGCTCCATCAAAATCACTTAAATGAACAGAAAATGTCACACTTGGAGTTTGTAAAATCTAGTTATTCGTAGGTTCAAAATTCATTACATACCCCTTGCTTTCATATGAACATCATTGTATCTTTCTTCAATGGAATTGTTCTCAAACTAAATATGTCTGCTACTGAATTCATTTCATAAAATAATTTTCCCTCATGTTATTATCTATACTTTGTTTTATTTTTTTTAAGAAGTTAAACTAGAAAAAACAAGTGTTATACTGTTCATTGATTAGGAGTTAAGTGTCATGAATTTCTATTAAATTCGTAATTAATATTTCATGATGATATTTTTCATTAATTTTTCCGAAAACATGAAGAGGAGATCATGCGCGTTACATTATTTTTATGGGTGCCACTGCACTTCTATAATTTTGTTTTCTGCTTGTGGAAAATGGATTTGCAGACACACTGATGTTGTGTTTTCTTGCAGCCGCTTTGATATCACTCAAATTCCTGATGTTTATGATTCATGCAAGTAAGTATCTCATAAAAGTTTAAGCTTTTATGCTGATATACTCTTTCCTAGCCCATAAGAAACAGGATTCTCTTAGAATTTTCTCATTGTCTGAATGTAATCTGAACCAAAAAAGCATTGCGATAATGTTTTAGGAAGTTATTAACAGGTTTTGATGCAAACTTAGATTTAATTTTAATTCTTAAAACCTCGTGATACTAATAAAAATGTGTATGAGCAGATAAGTTGACTGGAAATTTATCTTAAATCTGAGATTTTGGTTCTAAGATTAAATCGACTAGATACTAGAATAATGAAGGGGAAATGAACTATGCTCAAAGATACAGCTGACTTGATCTGAGATTTTTTTTTTCCTGTGGTCTCAGAATTGTTCTGACATTCAATCCACTAGATTTTCAAGTTAATTAGAATGAAACAAAAATGGATACAATGAAAGTAGAGGATAGAGAAGAGATCCTAGTTATCCTGATTTAAACTCCTGTCTGACATCCAGTTCTCTTGAACTTGGTGGGATTTTCACACCCTCAGAGTATAGGAGCAGCTTTAGCACTAAGGTTTCTAAGCTCAACTAGAACTTCACATCCAGTTCTCTTGAACTTGGTGGGATTTTCACACCAGAAAATCAGAGTATAAGAGCAGCTTTAGCACTAAGGCTTCTAAGCTCAACTAGAACTTCTGTTAAGGTTTTTCCACAGCTCATCCCCTAAATAACTAATGCACTCTTGGAAGGATTTTACAAATGAAATGATTGAAAGATATGTACTTGGAAACATTAGATGGTTTAATGATCGGGCAGGACTACCGTGAAATTTTCAAAGATAATTCATTTAGCTTCTGTATCTTCTTTATCGATGCCCTTCACCTTCAGATATAAAAACGTTAAGAATTTATCCATTGCATGTTTGAATTAGTCAATCATAGAAGAAAGATTATGTGCTTTATGCTTTGTTCTCCTGTCTCTTGCTCGTTGCAAGACACTAGCTGAGATGTATGGAGCATAGAGAGGCCATGGTATTGGTTGTGGCTTGATCAGATCATCTCTTCTTTCAGAGCACGGCATACTTTTGCTCAAGCTATCTTATCCCCATTATTGGCATTTACTGCAAGCATTGAATGCACTCGAAGCTTGTCAGAGAAGACAAAGTGGAATAAACTAAGGGAAAAGGACACTTAAGGGTTCAACACATACATTGACCTCTAAGAACCTTCAAAATCAAAATCCTTGGGACCATAGAAATAAGTAACCATTTGTCATCTTAATGTTCGGTGAAGGAATGAGCACAGTTTGGGGAAATATTCAATTATTCTATTTGTCTCTTACTGTCTATCACACTATGTACTGATTAAACTAATCCACAATTTTATGTGTTAGAAGATAAGTTTGGTGTTTTAAACTTCTCTAATTCTATATTTTTCTTCTACAAATCATAAGTTTGACTTACATTTATACTCTACAGGTATGATCTCTTGCACAATGCTCATCTTAATCTGGAAGGACTGGATGAGCTTTTCAAAGTCGCTCAGGTACACAAAAGTACATCATGATATCTCAATGCTTTCAAAGTGGATTTAGTGGATTGCAAATTTCTTCTCTTATTTGGAAAGTGAATGTCTGTTTATTTTTTCTACTGCACTCATATCCTTTCTAAAACAGAAGTACGTACTTCTTGCTCAACTTCCAAGTCTGAGCACCAATCTCTGCAAGTCCATTCCCCGCAAATTCTGAACTGTGTTTACAGCTAAATATTTATTTTAATTCTTTTCTTTGTTTTTATTTTTGGGGGGTGGGGGGCGTGCAACTAATCAAGCCATTTTTGAAAGTTGTCCCTTGCAGAAAGCGAACAGCTATAAAAAAATGGACGTTCACAAATTGTGTCGCTGATGGTGTTATTTTATTTGCAGGCACTCGCTGATGGTGTTATTCCAAATGAATATGGAATTAACCCAAAGCAGAAGTTAAAAATTGGCTCTAAGGTATGGCCATGCTGTAAGATACATCACAAATTGCCTCTTTACGTTATCAATATTTGATTCATTTTCTTATTCTGTCCTTGCATAAATTATGCTTTCGACTTTTATAATTGCGATGTCAATCCTCATTATTGATTCTGATTTGAGCCAATACTATGTTTTAACCCCAAAGAAGTACTTGTGAAATGTGAGGTCTGAAACTGTATGCGATGTAATGACCCGTATGTAGCATTTTGTCTTCAGTTTCATAACTGGATATTGCTTTGGTTATTGATACTCAATTAAATGCATTTCTCTATATGTTTATTTGTTACTGTACCCCCCCCCCCAAAAAAAAAAAACGGTGGGGGGGGGGTTAACCCTCATTTCTGTTGTTTTGGTTCAGATTGCACGTCGTTTACTGGGGAAAATTTTAATTGACTTGAGGAATACTCGTGAGGAAGCCATTAGTGTTGCCGAGTTAAAGAGTAACCAAGATCATGTTTCGTCGACCTTAAAAACAGAACAGGAAGATATGGAGTCCAATTCAAAACTTTCAAATAAAAATGATGAACCAAGAAGATCCAACACTTTTAGTGATATTTCTTTGGATCAAGATGATGATGATGATAAAGAGACAAAATATCGTTTAGATCCAAAGTGAGTATCAGAACACAATTTGATCTTCTGCATTACTATTATGTTGTGTTTTAACCATCTAATTTCCCATCAGGTATGCAAATGTGAAGACACCTGAGCGTCATGTGCGAACAAGACTGTACTTCACATCAGTGAGTGCTTTATTGCATTATTTTTGCTTCATGATGGCAGGGACTTTTACCCTGTATCTTCTATGGATAAGATTTCCAGTGTTTTGTACCATATGATTCATTTAAAACGGTGAAATGAATGTGCTTAGTTATGTTGCATGCCCCTTTTGTCCAAATTAATTTTCCATCGAAGAGAAATTTAATGTTCGAATTTTCTCAACATGAAAAGATTTCAATTATAAATTTCAATCAAAAAGTTGTTATTTTAGACAAGATTTATCCATGTTGCTTTTGTTTAATTTCACTTCCGTATTTTACGGTTCTAATAGATGCTAGAGATTTGTCAATGACCTTCTTGGTCTCTTAATTGTGCCATTGCCATTATTACTTGCTAGTCAAGTTTACTTTCTGTTATAAATTCAATATTTTGTTTTGATATTATAAAGTCAAATGATATTATATCTTGTATTGATTTCTTAAATGACATCCTATTAAAACATAAAGAAACAATGATACATCGGAACAAATTTTATATAATGAAATTATATGTAGAGCTCAACCGTTAATATCTCTGTAAATTCATGCATCCGAACTGACAATGATTGTATAATTTTCCCCCTATTTGAACAAAATTGTTCTATTCCGATTCATTTACTTTTTTCCACGATTATTTTTATTTGCAGGAATCACATATCCATTCTCTTATGAATGTAATTCGTTATTGTAATTTGGATGAATCTCTTCAAGATGAAGATAGTCTGGTTTGCTATAATGCGCTAGAGCGCCTGTATAAAACAAGGGAGCTTGACTATATGAGCTACATTGTGCTTAGAATGTTTGAGAATATAGAGGTGCGTCATTTTAGAAATTTTCCTGTCAGTATTTCTTATTTTTTACCGTTAGAATGAAAAAAGGGAGAATTATATTCAAGTTTCACTTAACATAATTAATTACTCTCGACTTCATTTACAGCTGAACTTATGAGAATGACAATGAACATGAGAGTAATTAATTGTGTTGAGTGAGACCTTAAAATAATTCTTCTAAAAAAAAAAGAGTTCCTCAATGCTCTACATTCTATTGCTTGATAATTTGAATCATTGTTGCCCCGTAATTCCAATGATGGTCATAACTGTCAAGGCTTAATTTGATGTGTTTGTTAGACGCAGACGTTGGTTGCATGTTTATGATTGTTATTTTATTCAACCTTTTAACTGCGAAACTGCAGGTGGCTTTAGACGATCCAAAAAGGTTCCGCATAGAGTTGACCTTTAGTCGTGGTGCTGATTTATCCCCCTTAGAGGTAAAGATCCTCAGTCAATATAGTTTACCAAAGACGAATGAATTATGAAGGAACGATTTAAGTTCCTTTGGTTTACTGTTTTACCTTTATTGTTTGCGCGGTATGCAATAGTGTTCATTAGGTTTCAGGATACTTGTGTTGTGGTGCCATTTGGCTGAAGCTTTTATGGGAGTATTTTGACCAGAAGCTTTTGACACTAGGATCACTTCTTATAAGCTTTTTACGAGAGAGAACAGTTATTTATCTCATTAATGTTTCGTGATGTGTGGAATATGCGAACTTGCGTTTGAAGAGAAGAGCTGATATAACAAAGGGTGTAATTTTGTGTTTGACAGAAGAATGATAGTGAGGCGGCTTCATTACATCAAGAGCACACCTTACCTATTATGGGTCCTGAAAGGCTGCAAGAAGTAGGATCGTTTCTGTCGTTAGAGAAAGTGGAGAAGATGATTCGTCCATTTGCTATGCCAGCAGAAGACTTTCCTCCCCCAGAAACACCTGCGCAATTCCCTACCTATTTTCCTAAGAGCGTCCTCGAGCGCCTGGTAAATTTCTGGCCTTTCCATAAGCATGCCAATTCTAATGGCAAGTAGCTGCTTAGATAATTTTTAAAGCCAACAGCCGCCCTGGAAAAAAAAAAAATTCCTTTTTTCTTTATATCTCTTCTAGTAATTTTAGAAAGTCTGAATATTAGCCCCTTTTCCCACGGCAAGGGTTGGGACGTTAATTTTGAAAAGAAATCATCATTGAAGAAAGGCGCATTGTATCATTGTACGGAAAGGAATTAATGTCAGCAAAAAAAATATTTTTCTCTATATGTTTCCTTAAATTAAATTTCAGTGCAATGCGAATCATGTGATTATATATTTTTCTTAATTCTTAATACTCCTCTCTTGTCGAACTTCAATTTTTTTATACTTATTTCTGCTGTTACTGCTTTGATGAGGAAATCAAATTATACACATTAACGTTATCAATCCTACTACGCTGTATTTTTCTCTACTATCGCCATGTTTATTTTCAAGCTGGGTCCAAAATTGCGTAATGCGTACTGATCATGCATAACTTGGAGGTCAATTATGTTATCCGCATTGGGATGTGGTTTCGATCATTTGTGTCATCACATCAGTCTTGATTCTTATATTTTAAGATGTCTTGAATTCGAAGGGAGAATATCTATGGAATATAGAATTGGGTACAAGTGAAAACAAGTAATTGTAATTTCACCAGCAATCAAGATCGTTCAGAGATTTGGTGGTGACTTTATGGATACGGATGAGGTGCAGTGGTTGAAAAATAAAAAATCCTCACCTTGAATTTTTATCTAATAACTAATAAAAAATAAGTGTATAAAAAGGTTTACAACCATGTTTTATCTAAAATTAAACTTTATAAAAAATATAATATTTTAATAAATCTATTAATCACTTATTTAGATAATATAGATTTTATCTAGATGCTTAATGTGATATTAATTTTTTTATTTTTTAATAAATTGATTATTCAAATATACCTTTATAACTAATATTAAAATTTTTTATTATCCTTATAAAATTTTAATTTTGGATAAATATAACATTAAAAATATACTATTCAAAAAAAATATTTTTTAAAAAAATCATAAGTTAAAAATTTTAAATATGAAGAAAAATCAAATTTGAATTACAAAGTATATTTGAATAGTGAATATTAAAAATTAATATTAAACTGAATCATTTAAATAAAATTTGAATTGTTTAAATTAGTAATTAATAAATTTATCAAAAATATCATATTTTTTATAAATTTTTATTTTGGATAAAACATGATTGTAAACATTTTTATACACCTATTTCTTATCCGTCATTGCATAAAAATTCAGGGTGAAGATTTTTTACTTTCCAACCACTGCATTATTTCCCACTACACCTGATATATCCATTATAGGAGCACCTTCCAATTTCATTCCTCGAGAATTCTGGATATTTGTTTCACTCTCCAACCCTTGCTTTAGCGGCCTTTTTCTCTTTTATAAAATGGAAAATAAAGTTAATAAAAGACGATAGGAATGTGCTTCCAAGTCATTGTGGTCGAATCAAAAGGTGTCGATCTTCTTGGCGTGTACGTATTAGCCCCCCAACAAATTGGACCCAAATCATATGTATATAATCCACATCAAACGCCTATATTGTTATCCATAAAAAAATTATTAATTATTTTTAAGAGTATCATATCAATTATATCCCGATTAAGAAATAATTCAAATGAAATAATAATTTATATTTATATTCTTTCAATACATATTGGGGTTGGTTTAAATTATTCCTACACGTGGCAGTGTGTGTGTGTGTGTGTGTGTGTGTGTGTGTGTGTTCCTATTCGTCCCGACCTTCGGCCCCTCCATACATTGTTAGTTGTTATTGACAAAATTCGAGAATATATCAAAAAGAAAAAAAATATTCCACTTGAATACTAATATTATCGCTTAGGGCCAATAAATTGCCTCAATAACTGCTGCCGTAACTAAGCTGCTATCAGAATAATTCCTCTCATTTATATTAAAATTTGATAATATCTGCTATTTTTAAGGAACTATTAGGCATGTCTGTAGGTTAAATGACGTCACGCAGTAATTAAATAAAATATCTTTTCACATTGGGCACAAATTTTCTCAACTATACTGTCCATATACCTTGGGGGAAAAATAAACGCAGTTATATAGGTTTTAACCGTCACAGCAATCTGCGACTGGGCATATTTTTCTTAGAGATACAGGAACTATACAATGTCAAAAAGAAACGAGTAAATTGATTAGGTTGAGCTTTGTAAGAGAAACATGAAAATTGATTCGGTACACGGAAGGATAATAATATCGTAAAACTAAATAAGAGAATCACTATTGATTTGTGCTTTAATTTGTTTTTTGTGAAAGAAAAAGGTGCCAATAAGGACCAAAAGAATGCAACTTTAGTGTTATGCATATTTCAAACAAACACTTTCGGGTTTTACAATCAAATTGATAACATCTGTGTTGACTTCGTGCATCCTTGCATTATACGTACCATTTTTGGTGCGAATTTGTCATCTTTTTTCCAGCTAATTTATTATTTTACTATTTTTTATCTTGAAAGAGAGAAAACAATTTATTTATCTATTTATTTATTATCAAATATTTATTTTAACTAAGTAAAAATATGTCCACTCCATCTTGTAGCAAAGAAAATAAAACAATCAACCATCGGGGATATGGTGCAGTTTAGCTGAGAGAAGAGTATTAGCAATTGCTAGAGCCACTTCAATCGAAACAAAATAATAAAATATTTACAACGTTATTATAATTAGGAACATCAGTGTAGATTCTTTTTAATATATTAAAATGAACGATTTTTGGGTGTAAGCAATATATATGTATAGGAGCAAGAAAATGCACCAATAAATTAATTGATAATCAAAGCGGCAATTATTAAAACTCAAGAGTCGATGCCTAAACAGTCTTTCAAGGATCAAAATTGCATTGGTAATCCATGACCGCCTAATAAAATTCGTGTCCCTTATTTATGGAAAAGGGCGTTAACCTCGTCATTTTCTTGTAAAATAATTTTCAAATTAACCTCAAATAATAATGAAATGAAGAGGGAGAGAAGAGAAGGAAAAGATCAGGTCCATGAATATTGTCCCGTTGCGTTACACCACTAATATATTGAAACCTTTTTTTCTTACAAGCATAAATAACCTAATTCTATCCATTTATGAAAGGTGTATTTAGATTTTAGAGTAAGTTTGAAACGAATAAATATGGTATTGTGTAATGTGTATATGAAGCCTCCATGCTGCATCAAGGATTAAGAATACACCTATTTGGAATGTCCCAAAAGAATCGTTGTGATAGCTTATTAAGGATTTGAATGAATATGTATTTTTTACTGAGATATACAATGATTTATACGTAAGTACAAGTTAGGTGCAATGAGGCAAGAGAGTTGAACCACATCTTCTTTGGAAGGAGACACCCCATCCACCTTGATTGTATAGATATTTAATGGAAGCAAAATTTCTAAAGATGATATCATGAATTTTCATGAATATATGTATACACACATACATATATTATTTTTTATAAAATATAAAATTGTCTCTCTCTTTCTAATTGAAAAGTGAACTTCATGAAATTTTACATATTCTTAATTTTAGATGATTCATTCTTATAATAGATAACAGGTGTGGACCTTTTAACCTTTTTTTGGTAGTTGTTTAATTCTTTATTATTAACAATTATCAAATAATAACTGATTTTCATTAAATACCATATGTAGTTGAAGATTAACAGAGAAAATTAATATTTTTATAAGGACACCAACTAATTAAAGTTGGCATGGTAAAAACTCTTGTTATATAAGCAAGTGATTAAGGTTTCGAACATCAACTATTGTATATGTGATAGTTTAGTTAAAAAAAGGGAACGCACCTGAAAAAAAAAAAGAAAATAAAAAAACACACATACCTATTAGGAATTGTTAAAAAGGAAAAAGAAATAAAAATAAGCGAGGATCAATTAATCCAACAAATGTGTTTTTGGGACTTTTTTTTTTTTTAAGACAGAATTACTTGTTTCTCCTACTTCCGACCGTCCAGCTTCTCAATAGTGAATACCTTCCTTAATCCTTACTTCTACTGGACACACCAATCATGTATGTATGTACGTTGAGATAGACATCTATTATATATTATCTATTAATATTTATTTTATTAAAATTAAAAAAAAATTATATTCATTGAATATTATTAGAATATTTATTAGTTATTATTAAAATATTTTTATATTGTAAATTCTTTATGTCAGTAAAACAGAGCACTTTTCCCATTTGTTTTCATTTCTCTCTGAACTTCATTCAATCTATAACATTTTTTTGGGGTTATATTATTTTTCTATGTTTTGTGTATTACTTATAAAATTTCTTAATGAAGTATGTCTAATTCATTCAGTTAGTATATAATACTATATATTTTAGCCTACAAAATTGTAGCATCATAATGGGCAACAGAGCAACGGCTCTGGATTGGTCGTTTTCTTAATGATTTTGTCTTATTTTCCCCCCTAAGAGGCGTGACTCTGGAGATAAATATATTTATAGCTTCAGCAAAAATAAATAAATAAATAAAATTATCTGTGTTGCTGCCAGATAATGTACGGTAGCATGGCGAATTTTATCCGTACACTTAAAATATTAGTGCCACCTGAGGTCCTTGCCTCCTAGGGAGTTGGCACAACACATGCAAAATGTTCCACCGATCTTTTTTATAAATTATTTTTATTAATTTTATTAATATTAATGTAAAAAATATAAAAAATAAAAGTGTATAAAATTTTATATATATTCTTATATAATAAATTTAAAAAATAATGTTATGTTATTTTTTTTATAAAGGATAATTTTAAAATATTTTTTAAATATTATCTAAGAAGATGTGTCGTGATTTATAAATCAAACCAAATGAATTTTTTAAAAAGTATCTTATAAATAGGATTGGGGGGAGTAATATATATCCCATCCTTTCAATGATATAATGCCTAGTTTGGTACTTTGTAATTGGGATTAGAGAAGTGAAGGTAGGAGTCTTATTATGACATTTACTTGTTTGGTATGTAGGAATTGAGTTTTTCAAGGGACCTAATTTTATAAAAAAAAATTATGAAACTCAATTCCATCATGCATCCATAAGAATTCGATTTCACCATTCTTACTTGTATAAAATTTTTATCTCACTTTATCATTATAACAAACATTTTTTTTATTTCACTTTTGCTTTCACTTCTATTTTTATTTTCACTTTCACT